CCCAGAAACGTTTGGAAGGTTCGGAACCAATGATTCCAACGCGTTGTTGCGTCTGGAGAATTAGGATCTGCGTCGAAACAGTTGGGTCGCAGCAACGGTTCCATTGTATTCTTAGACAAGTAAATTGTTACGAATAGAATATCGATTCTGATTGAGTGCGAGAGCAAGAATGAATAGCGCTTTACTTGTCTATGAATAAACGTACATAAGCTGAAAATGAAGGCGAAAGCATGGTTACTACAAAACGATAATGTGAGCACAAAGAATATTCATGACAATGAGGTGATACGAAAGGTTTAATTGGGAGTCCTATCCAGAGTCTCTTGTTGAAAAACCTGGCCCGTAAGATAACGGAGTGTGGTTCGCGGCCCACAATCCACTGGGAGCCGGTGACCACGACTGCAGTTCATACGCCTTTTTCAATAGCAGGATACTACCCGGAATACTCATTGCACCCAGTTCTTACGTATGTCGATGAGTACTTTGGGCGAAATTGTCCAAGTGGTTAGAGCGCGAATTTACTGATCGGAAGGTCCGTGGTTCGAACCCGACCTCTGCCTCTTGACCTCCCCTGTCTAGGCTTGGGCAACCTGGCAGTATCCCAACCCTCGTGCTTCCTTCGGGTTGCATGGCAGCTAAGCACCTGAGGGGTGTTACAGCTGAACGATGTTTTTCTTGCTGCATGCAGCAGGGCGGGTAAGCGAAAACATGCTACCGCTGACGAATCCCTTCTTACACTTTCACGTTTTTCCTCTCCGATTCTCCCACCACCCAAACAATTTTCACTACGTCCTACTAAACTACCTCAAACTTTCGGTGAGTTCTTTCCTCACCATGTCCTTTACATTTCTTTGTTTTGCTGCTCTAGGACAACATTCTCCAGCATAATTGTCGTTGTGGATGTTTTCTTCTGTGAATGATGGAAGCGAGGCTTAGTGAAATCGACCCGAACAAACTCTCTGGCGTGGAACTCCAATTTGAGATTTCGAAGTATACCAGATTAAAACAGACGTAAGTGCTGTGTTTGTTACCCTAATGCAGGAATGTTTTTTCCACCAGGCTGGCATCCAGACTACCTGATGGGGGAGCTCGACTAGACAAGTACTTAACCAGATTGCATGATGCTTTGAACGAAAAAACACAGACGACTAACTTACACTTCTGTTCCAAAACGGCGCCTCGAAGCGACCCTTTTTCGTCCAAATCGACACTGAAAAAGTGCGATCCGGTCGTTGACTCCACAGAATCACCAGACGTCTTAGACGCAGATTCGACTGAGCTACATGAGTCTCAGATTTCAGACGTTGATGCGTTATCAAAGCGAATGAGTTCCTTGGATATTCAATCCGGTAAGTTCTGTCCGTTCACACTGGTCTATTCAATCTCAACTGCATTGCGCATGGATAACAAGTTACTAGCTCTGTAAACGCTCCAGGGTTTAAATCATTTCTAGCCTATTTTGAAGCGCATCTTAAGCGTCGCGGTCCATTGTTTTTTATGATGGCAGAAGCTACGACCGGAAACCACTACATGGAATTTTGGTTTGGAAGGGATTGTCTCTAACAAATGCTCGCATACCTTCAACTCTTAGACGACTAACATAAAAAAAGTCGTTCGGCTGTAGCACCCTTTCGGTGCTCAACTGCCATGCCACCCGAAGGAAGCACGAGGGCTGGGATAATGCCAGATCTCCCAAGGCTAGACAGGGAAAGCCGGAAGGCAGAGATCGGAACCACGGACCTGCTGGTCAATAAATTGGCGCTCTAACCACTTGAGCCATTTCGCCCCCCAAAGGACTAGCATACATATGGACAGCTTACATTCCAGATGTTCCTTGGCTTCGTTTGTGCTTTAGGCCATGCCACGAAAGTGTATAAATGTCATCGCTCAGCATTCCATTCTTACAGACGTGTATGAAGTTACGGGGAGCTTTTCAATTATTTACAAGTATGGATGTTCATTTCCCGTATACGGTTTATGACTGGTTATTTCGGAGTAGTGAACAGAGGGCATGATCCCGGTGTACTCCATACAGTACGACGGTTTCCACGAACGTGCCGGGTGAGAATTGAGTTTCGTACGTATATCGGTATAACCAGACGAACTAGAAATCCAGAATTCAGCGAAGCGTAACAACCAGCACGTATGTATTCGAATTGGCGAATATGTACAGCATATGGAATACTAAAACAGGAGAATAATGAATAGAGCAATTAATAGAGTATCAGTCATGTTGATCACAGTGCCACTGACTCACAAAGAAGACAGTCCATGGCAGTCCCTTTTATGATGTGACTCTCATGTATTTACTTAAAAGTGACCTCCAATCTTACATATCAAACCTCCTTTGGTAGGCTGTTCTATGCGTTGACCACTCTCGTTGATAAAGTGATCAATGGACTCGGATGCAATTTCCTCGGTCTGTAAAGGCTCAAATGATACTATCGTGTGACCGCTGCCAGGAAAATATTTTTGAGTTGTCACAAAGGTGTCGCGCAATAAAATCTACGTATTGATCAGATCGGTCGCTTACCACAGTGGGAACACCTAATCTTTGCAGAGGAATCGAGTATGAAAGATTCCGTTGTCCTAAAACCACCTTTGGCCCCCACGCTTAACCTGTTTCACTAGTAGAATTTCATGCATTGCCACTAGAAATGCATCGGACTTTCCATATTCCAGAAAGAATTTGACGAGCACAGAGAACTGATGCTAGATAATCTCTTCGGCTTCGTGGCAGAAGAATCGTCTGACGACCCACATCTTTGATTTGGCAGATTTTTCTTTGAGCCAGTCATTGTCTTGCGATTCAGAGTAATCGTCACACTAACGTCGCTTTTCACCGTCAACATACAAGGAATTTAACCTCCTCCTAGATTAAAGGACCCTGTTGGACAGGCCTGGACAATCGGAAGGACAGCACACTTACCTTAATTGATGAGGAACATCAAGTGTATTGACCTATCGAATAGCCTGTTCAGCGTATATTGCATCCAGTTCAATTCCTCACCCGACGTCATTTCCCATCACAGCTTCAATTTATTCGCATACAGAAAGTAGAACCAGGCATTAGCCCGAAGTGGACCATGGAGGGACGCCCTTGATGCCCGATACATTGCCCTCCACTTGCATGGTGCAACTTTTGGGAGATTCTGCATCCATTTTTTCATTTTGTCGTCGGTGATATATGAAACCAGTTTCGTCAGCAATCTCTAGTGTGAAATCGTCACACGCCCCATTCCTTCTTGCCCACACGAGACAGAGGTACTGTTCTGTAATTATCTGGATTGTGTCTCTCCCCTCGATTTAGCGGTAAAGAACGATAACTGACCATTATCGAACGCGCTTTTGAAAAGTCAGTATTGAAAGCCGGCTACTGTACTCGCTGAGGTCTTTGGTATTCGTGGCTGTAATTCATCTGGTCCCGGAGCAGGTTGTCCACCTAGCTTCCCCAGAATTTACGCGGTTCCAGATGGCTCGATTTCGGTGTCAGTGGGTCTCTGGTTTATGACCGTTTCTGTGATGTGGACGGTGTATATTGCTGTCATAATTTGCTAGAATCGCCAGGGCTCTCGTGAACCAATGGGGGGTTGTTAGGTTGCATCATCATCGTCATTGTCAGCTGTAATAACCGCGCACTCGTCGTACAGTGGTTGTCGCTGCTGCAGTTTCGTTCACCGATGTTTTGGGGGGGGGGATAGGTACAGTGGGCTGTCAATTGGGGGGGGGGGTTGG